CGATTCACAAATGTCAGAAATCAATTTTCTAAATTTTAATTTATACTGTAATGTTGACGGAACGCAAAGGGCGGAACTTGGAAGTGGGTAAGTGCAGCGCCCGGACAGTTTGTGACGGCACATAACAAAAACACAACTGGATGAGTGAGAAATCCGACCGGCTCCCTCTGCATTAAAGCCAGGTTAGATCAGGAGTCACAACACAAATGATAAGAAGAGCCATTTTGACCTTTCAACAAAAATCAAATCACCTTGGGAGCCACAGCATTTAATGTCCAGTATGTCTCAGTATGTATTAATGTCCTAGTATAGGCTAAACATTATAAACAAAAACACAGATTTACTCTGCTCTGCTTTAAGCTTTAACTACAGCCGCTTTCCTCCCGTCTCCTCCAGAAAATGTTTCCTCAATAGTAGAACAGTTTCTTGTAAAATGTCTCTCAACGTTCGACTGTTTTACGAGACTGAAGTCAGTTTCTCATTCTCCAGCTTCTGGTTCGAATTTTCCCGTTCCACCTTAAATTCTGCCTGAGGCGCCGAACGTAAATGTGGCACCATTTAAGGTGGAACGGGGAAGTTCGAAAGAGAAGCGACTTCATCTTCGCAACTTCTTAGTGTTTGACAGTCTCTCATTGCAGGTTTAACGTTCCAGGAAACGAACTGCGCTGCTTATAAACACAGATAAGTCCATTCGACTCCAATTGTTCATCTTAAACCTCTCTTTGCCTTTTCGTAGCTGCTGGCCAGGCGAGACTGCGTTGCTAAGTGACCTGCAGTCTGGGCGCCAGTTCTCAGAACCAGGGCTTTCGCGCTATGTTGCACACTTTGGAGCCGAGATTCAGCGTCCAGTCTCGAAGATATTTTACTGACACAGCGATTTGTTCTTCCTTGCCCAAAGCCCCGACATATGATGGTTTTTAAAATCTAAACTATTCTGTGCTGTGGTTTTTTTTAATTATTGTCTTAATCACTTACAAAAATAAAAAAAATAAACTAAACAAAAATAAAAAGGGTATTAAACCAAAAATAAAAGAAAGTAGAATAAAAGACTTCAGCCGCTGATTTCTTGTGGAAGGGAGAAAAAGACTTCTTCTTTATTTCAGCATCAGGTGGCACAGGGTCTCGAGAGACCCCAACTGTGCAAATACAGTGTTCCCAACAACAGTCTATACCATTTATCTGGGGTAGTTTGATATCCCCCCGCCTTACTGCTCAGATCTTGATATCAGCTCATTCTCTAACTGGTGCATCTCTTCGTCCATCAGTTTGGCCATCGCATGATGAGCTCACTCCTCAAAAGTGGCTTCAACAGGTTTTTACCAGCCTGCTCTACCATTCAAGGTCAACTTGCCCCTCTCTTCACTGGGTCAGTAGGTACACACAGGCCTGTCTGTGAACCCAGCTGCTTTCTAGCGTCCAGAATCTCCTATGCAGACAGACTAAGGCCGACCCTCTGTGAGAGAATTATTATTCTCTGTTAGGCAAGACTTCCTATTTGGTTATTGATTACAACATCTAATCTATTTGATTACTGATTAAGGGAATATTTGCTGGAGCCTGTCCCAGCTGTCACTGGGCGGAAGGCAGGATACATACGTACATACATATGTGTGTGTGTGTATATATACATATATGTATTTCTAGTGAGAGCAGCTTTAATCATTGTTTGAACTCCAGTTTTGGAAGCTCCTGTTTTTTCACTTATTTTTCTCCTTGCTTATGCAAGTGGATTATCCTGTATCTAATCTCCTCTGCAATGTCTCCGGAAGATGAATAACTTACGTACTTAATGTATTTAACTGTTCACATACTGCTCATCGCTATTTTTAGTTATGCTCATGGATTTTCGACATCATCAGATTAATACCTCTTACCAGCTTCCTCGCCTGCTTAATCAAACAAGCAGAATCTCATATACTTCCCTGCACTTGTATCTCTGTTATGGAACATTTCTCTGATAGGCGTTTTACAGTATTTTTCTGTGGAAGAGAAAAGAGAGCAGATTGTTTAGAATAGACTCAAACTTTATTGTCCCGCTAATGAATGAATAATTGACTTTGGCATCACCTTGAGCGTGTGTTTATGAAATGATGGCTTTTATATGAGCTGGAAGGCCCGTGTTCTCCAATCTTGCTCCATTCATGACGTTTTAAACTGAAGAAACTGCCTTAGGAGGGGAAAAAGTCCTATTGAGACGGTGGAATCATAAAACATCCATTGTGTGGCCACACAGAGAGGCTGCGTGAACAGCACATGGAACACGGCTTTGGGAAGCCCCTCTTTCTGCTGTGGGTGCTTCATCAGTGAAGATAAAGGCCCGTATTTATCGAACTCCTAGGAGTGAGGAGCTGATCTGGAGTCGGTTTGTGCCTTTTGCACAGCCCTGTAAAGAACAGGAGTCGACAACATGCGGCTCCAGAGCTGCATGCGGCTCTTTTGCTGCCCTGTTGCTGCTCCACAGCAGAATTAGATTCTTTGAACATGTTGGTTTGACGAAGCCAGCTGATCACGTCAAAATGGTGGAAGACTGTTGATGGTTGTCAGAGTGTTGGTAAAATGTTGCTAGGTGGTTCCTACGGTCTCCCAGGTGGATGTTGATGTGTTGCTAAGTGCCACCTTAAACTGCTTCCTTAAATCTGCCACCTTAAATTCAGCACCACCTTGAATGTAATCATAACTCAAATTCACTGCCATCTTAAATTTGTTGATATTTTAAATACAGTGCCACCTTAAATTCACCGAAACCTTAAATACACTGCCACCTTAAATTTATTGATATTTTAAATACTGTGCCACCTTAAATTCACAGAAACCTTAAATACGCTGCCGCCTTAAGTTCACTGCCACCTTAAATGTAATCATAACTCAAATTCACTGCCACCTTAAATTTGTTGATATTTTAAATACACTGCCACCTTAAGTTCACTGCCACCTTAAATACACTGCCTCCTTAAGTTCACTGCCACCTTGAATTCACTGCCACCTTAAATACACTGATACCTTAAATACACTGCCGCCTTAAGTTCACTGCCACCTTTAATTTACTGATACCTTAAATACGCTGCCACCTTAAATTTACTGCCAGGCCAAATTTACTGATACTTTAAATTTGTTGCCACCTTAAATTTATTGTTATCTTAAATAAACGGCCACATTAAATTTACTGATACCCTAAATACACTGCCACCTTAAATTCACTGATATCTAAATACACTGCCACATTAAGTTCACTGCCGTCTTAAATGATCTGAAGCCTCTGAATTCACTGCCACCTTTAATTTACTGATACCTTAAATATGCTGCCACCTTAAATTTACTGGTACCTTAAATTTACTGCCAGCCTAAATTTACTGATACTTTTTAAATTCACTGCCACCTTAAATTTGTTGTTATCTTAAATACACTGCCACCTTAAATTCAGTGCCATCTTAAATTACATACGAAGAACAGTAAATTGGCTTTTTCAAGTAATTTTTTCTAATCTTGTTCTTCAAACTGGACTAAATCCAACCATTACATTTACTGTGCACTCTGAAGCTGATGAAACTCAACTCTTCCACAAAAATCCCCATTTGAGTTTGTTTGAATGCACTGAGAAGCCCTTTGTAGCGGCCTGCGTGGATAAAGGATGGCGGACAGGGGACGCGGGTCAGAGGCTCATGCATCCATCCTGCGCCTGTGCTTCCAGAAGCAGAGCGAGGTGTGCCTGGGAAATGGCCTCTGGCTTGGCTCTGGATTTGCCTGGATGACGAGGCGCTGGGGTCAGTGATTGATGCCTGCTGGTTCAACTCTGCTGTCTTAAACTCTGACCACTGGGTCACTGCAGAGATGAACCGCAAATGTTAACCTCTTGCAGACAAATGCCCCATTAAAGATTACTCACCAGGCTCCAGATGGGTAGCCTAAAAAGTGGTGCTGTGGCCCAACTGCAAGCTAAACACTAAATCTAACCCTTTTTTAAGCCTAGGCATATGGTGTGCAGTATATTGTAATATGTCGAGTATAGCCCTGTAGTACGTAGTGTATTTTAATATATTAAGCCTATGGTATGTAGTATACTGCTAATTATTTATATATTTATTTATTGTCAGTATATTGCATACTATAGGCCTATAATCTGTAGGCCTGTAGTATGGAGTATATGATAAAATATTGATCATAGGCCCATAGTATGTAGTACATCGAGTATATGTCTATAGTATATAGTATATTGGAGTATATTGGGTATACGGCTATATTATGTATTATATTGTAATATACTGAGTGTAGATATTAAGTGTAGGCTGTACGCAATATATTACAATATACAAAATAGGTCACCTACGAAATTCGTGCAGATCCAAGGACAATTTTTAGTGAGTGGGTGTGGCAGGGGGCTCTGGCGGCCAACAACAGCAGAAGTTTAGAAAGACTTGTTTACTTTTCGACTGCATTTTTTCCCACCTGCATTCTGCGAAGACCCGCCCTTACTCATCCTCGGATAAGATTGGCTCTGACCTCGATATTCCTACCCTAACCAAAGTTTGTTCACTCGACGACTCGCTTTGCAAAGCCGTTGATCAGTTATTTCCAGCCCTTTGAGACGAGGCACGTCTCTTTGAAGAGAAAATCTTACAGAATTTTTCCATTTTTTTGGAAAAATGGTGTAAACGTTTCTAGATGTTGAATAGACTAATAGAAATAGAAGTGAAATCTCATTTTATTATTTTAAAGTTCTCTTTTTTCTTGTCCTGTTGTCCCATTTCTGGAATATTGTGTTTTATTTCATTTTTAATTGGGACGTAGCATGGGACTTATAATGTATGCAGATTGTTGGGCAGGACGTGCATGGTGTGCTATTAGCCCTAACAACATGCATTCCTCCATTTTATTTGTGTTTATGCTCTATTAGTGCTGAATATGAGGTTAGATTTGTGTAACTTTTCTTTCCAAAGTTGTGAGACGCCAATACATTTCCCTATAATAGCGTCATTTTTCCCTATTGTGTTTTTTTCTTGCAGGTTTGTAAAGCCAGCGCCCATGTTCCTCGACAGAAACTTTAAGCGGCTAGGCAAAGTCAGCAGTTTTTTACCTCCATTTGGATTCAAGACACAAGGTATGGAAACCTCTTCTAAGTTTCATAAACGTACTGTGCTTTGATGTGCTTTTTTAGGTGAACGTGTTAATAAAACTATCAGCTGGATTTATTGGGTTTAGTACACAGATCAGATTTTCATAAAGACCATTTATTGCATCAGAATTCCAAACTTTTATCGGTTTTAGCCCTGGCTCTGCCGCCAATCTGTGTAATTCACTGTGCAGATTAGCCTTTATAAAGACACACGGTGAATGCACTCCTGGCAGAAGGGGTGGTTCGGTTAAACAGTGCTAAAATAGCTAATAATGAGTGAAAACCTGCTTTACCAGTTAGCATGAGGTCATACTAGCTGGTAGCTAAGGCTGTGTGATATGGAAAAAATATAACATCACGATACTTGAAGGCATTTGCACGTAATTTTCATCACAGTATAAAACAATACAGCAAGTAGGACTCAAGCCTTTTTAAAAAAAGGCTGAAAAACTGTGAATATAATGTTTTTAGTATTATAAATTAAATTTTTGCGAAGAAGATCAAAAAAATCTCCAACAAACAAAGGAATCAAACTGTACTTAAATGTCTGTTTCAGGATTTATTTATTGTCTATGTTTATGTTAGAGTCCGCTAAAAATGTGAATGGACATAATCATTAGCTTGATATTAATATTACATTGGAATTCTTATTGACAGGCTAATGGAAATTAACCTTTGATACAAAATGCTACTTTTAAGGCCAAGTAAAATGTTTCTGGATCAAAACAATGCTGTGTAGTGTGGACGTGGGCATGGAGATGGCATTAGAGATGGTATTAGTCTGAATCTCTGACTGGGTTAATTTTACATAGAAGAGGAATTCATCAGATTCACAGAGTGGAAACTTACAGACTCAGATGTCTTTACAGTGGTGGTGATAGGAACCAGGGGTCACCATGACTACAACACAAATATAGACATTTTATTTACTATCAAAACCACCAGTGAACCTACACGAGTCTTCTGAGTGTTTATGTGGAATGTTGATGATGGGAAAATAAGGTAATTTGTGTTAGAACTTGCTGTAGCTTTTAGAGGTGGACGTCTGGTTCCTATCACCACCACTGTGAACAGTTCTGACTCGGTAAGTTTCTCTAGAACAGAGCGTTTCACACCAAACCACTCGGAATGACTCTGTTTACATCTCAATCAATTAATTATGTAGAAATTTTGAAAGGCTGGTGGAATTCCCCTGTAAGAGCATCATATAAAAGCTGAGGTAACACATGTGTTCTGTCATCAAAGTATGAGAACATACCTTCTAGAAGAATCCCTCTGCAGAATGGTGCCTTTGTGCCAGCCTCTCTGTGTCTAGATGATTTGAAGTGATGGTGTCTGTGATCAGTAGGTTGCCAGTGTATTCCAGCGCTGTAAGCATGAATGCATGTTTTATCGTCACGCACAGCTGCTTGAAACTGTGTGATTAGATCCGAACGCATCTGAATAGATAGCTTAGGTTTCAGCGTTTTGTCAGATTTTCCGGCACTTGAAGGCTGAATGTAACCTTTGTGCTCGGCCGAGGGCTGCCGTGTGCTCACTCACGGAGGCTTTCTAAAGACGGCGGCCTGTGTTTACACTACGCCGGGTTGCTCTTTTCTCCACGGATCGTGGGAGCAGTGTACCTTTCCTTTGAGCTTTATTCGCTCGGAGAGGTGATACGTGTGGGTCGTGAATAGAACCGCACAAAACACTGCGAGACATAAAAATAGCTGTTCCTTCGCTGCCAATTTTAGTGCGAACGATTCCTTTGGCCACCTGCAGCTGTGATTTCTGATCTGATTGTGCTTTCACTAATTAAACAGCCCATATCTGACATTTTTCTTGTATTTTATTTTTTTTCCCCATGAGACCCAGTAGAGACATTTGTTTGGGTTAACATACCAAAATGAGACGTAATTCATTTTTACAGGACCGTTTCCCAACCTCTCTTTATCACTTAATTAAACAGGACACTGCATTTAAGACTGATGAGTCATATATAGACGTGTGTGTGTGTGTGTGTGTGTGTGTGTGTATATATATATATATATATATATATATATATATATATATATATATATATATATATATATATTTGAAAATGCCTGTTGCTCTTTACGTTGTGTGTAAATTTCATGATGAATTGACCAAAAGAAACGGCCCAAAATTAATTGGAAAAAGTTCTGGTTCCATTGACTTACATTAAAAGTAAAGTAGTTTTTTCCTTCTCCTGTAAAATTACTATTTTGGAGATACGAGGTTTTATATACAACTAAATAAATACATAATAAAACCTCTTTTCTGTCTGTTTTGAGTGACGGAGAGAACATATTGCACTTGATGGACCCTGTATGTGTAGAAATCAATAAATTATCAACGCTTAATAAAAGCAAGACGTGCCAGATATTAAACTGGGCTCCTCAGAAAGCTTAAGTGATGTCACTTATTCTTCATCCTGATACTTAATGTGATAAGTAGGATGGTGTGCGAAGCTGAGGACACAGATCCATGATTATATTCTTCTTTTAATGATAATTTTATATATGTATCATTAACGTGGGAGCAGATCTGAGCAGGGCAAACGCCTGATGTTAATATAAATCTTATTTAGAAATATTTGATATTTGTATATTATTATATATTATATTATACAGTAACCCGATGATGATGATGATGTTGATGTTAGATTGATATATTTGATATATACGTGAGAGATAATGTCAATGACTGTCTATACGAACTCGTAAAATTCCTAAAAAAAAATTGTACAAAAAAAAAAATGAACATTGAATTCATTCATTCAAACACAAGCAGGTTTCTGTCTCTAATCAAAGGCATCAAATGTGACTGAAACTGCACTCTTTTCATGAAATCATATTTAAACCAGCTCTGTTCTGATTGGCTGTCGTGTATTGCGCCCTGTTAACAAAGCAGTCTGGGCTGAAACACTCCTTATGACCTCAGTGTGAGTGGGCGGGGCTGAATTGCTGTGTGCTGAATATGCAGATGCATGCAAATGTGTTGGTTTTCATGGCATCACAAATACAGTGAGTTCAGAACAGCCTGTTTTTGCAGCTTAGTTTCCATATATGGACTGTGTGGACTGGAGAGTGACTTATTTACATACTTACATCAAACTTTATTAACTTTATTTTCATTATTTAGAAATGTGAGGATACAAAGTTGATACAAGAAAAGACTTTTTATGGAGCGGACTGTCGTGTCCAAAAGTTTGGGCAGCCCTGGTCAAAGTGTCAGAGTTTTGTTGATTTTCTAAATGGGGAAAAAAAGTTAATAGATCACTCTAGAGAGACTTCTGCACATTTTAATGCACACTTGCTGTTTATTTGCTGAATTGAAAAAAAATTTTGGGGAAAAATTTTGCACAAAGTGTGGACTGCAAAAGTTATAGCACATTTTATATGTTATGTTCCCATTTTTGCCATAATGTTAAAGCGGAATTCCACTGATTTTTCAAAATTTCTGCGTAATTCAGTCGTTCAGATGTAAAGAGAGTCATTCAGAGTGGTTTGGTGTGAAACGCTCCGTTCTAGAGAAACTTAGAGTCAGAATTGTTCACAGTGGTGGTGATAGGAACCAGACGTCCACCTCTAAAAGCTACAGAAAGTCTGACCACAAAATACCTTTTTTTTTCAGATTTATGACTGTTTTCCCATCAATCGTTGATCGTAGAGACTCAGATTTCTTCTATATTTTGTTTTATTTTTTCCCAATATGTTAAACTCAGCAATAAAACAGAAATCGCCAGTAACACAAAGTGCCACATTTAAGTTTTTAACTGGGGATTTTAGAACTGTAAGTAAGTTGACACATTGTGCAACTTCTAAAAAGCTTTCAGTGACTCAATATGAGTCACTTGGAGCAGCCTTGAATGACCCGTGGCGCTCTTTAGTGGTTATTGGATGGTTTGCAGTGTGTACCGAGCGGACACATGCTTTTGATGAGTCATTCTTGAGGCCCTTGCTTTGGTATGTTGTTCAGACATCACAACCAGCTCCAGCACTTCACAGCGCAATTAAAATGTTCAACTTGCTTTCTTGTTGAAAAAACAAAAGCAGGAATGTTCTCCTCGTGACCGCTGCTCCTGCTGCAGTGACTTCCCGTTAAGGCTGGGCGAAGACAATAACTACGCACCGATATGGGAATCATGGGCTGATGCTGAAGTCTGAAATTTTTCATGGACAGTCGTGTGGAAAAGTTTGAACAGCCCTGGTCAGATCAGATGCTTTTTTGATTTTCTAAGTGAAAATAGCATTTTCTGAAAATGCTGGTGCTCAGTTTCTGTGTATTTGCTTGTCATAAGTTTTGAACAGGCCATGTTTGTGTTTTGTGTGTTAAATTCAGCAAATAAACAGTAATTGCACATTAAAATGTGCAGTGTGTTCTCTGTAGAGGACGTGTTCGCTTATTTACAATTAGAAAATCAACAAAACAAATATATTCAGGTTTCATAAAATGTGGGAATTGGGGATGCCTGAATTAGAATTACAATAAAAATATAACATTTATTTCTGTAAGGTTACAAATGCAGTAAAAAGAATGTAAGAAAGTGGAAAAAGAAGGAAAAAGTGACGCAGAGAAACTTGTTCTTGCATTTGTTGCAAGCAGAGTTGATCACTGTAATGACCTTCTTACTGGACTTCTTAAGAAAACGGTACATCCTTTACAACTCGTGCAAAATGTACAGCATCCTCACAAAAACAACACAGAGAGATCAGATCAGTCCTGTTTTAAAAGAGCTGCACTGGCTGTCTGTATCGTTCAGGATAGACTTTAAAGTCCTGCTACTAGTTTTTAGGGTTTTAAATGACCTTAAAGCACCGCTTACATCACAGAGTGTCATGGAGAGACTCGTTCAGTTATTCTGCTTCTAAACTGTGGAGCTCAGTTCTTTTATTAGACCGTCGAGCTCAGTGGTCACTTTTAAGAAGCATCTAAAAACGCAGCTCTTTAACTTAGTAATTAATTAAAACTACGTCTCGTGG